ACTACTACTACTACTACTACTACTACTACTACTATATATCTATTTACACTTGTTCCTCCTATTCATAATATTGCCTATTTTGTGCATCGTTATACATTCTCTAATGCTACGCTTGGATATGAGGTCCCCAAAACGGGTAAATAATCTTTCAGACCCTTCTATCACGCATACTGTATCAGTCATATGTCCAGCAAGTACAGCATTTTGGGCCCATCAACCTGAACAGATGATTCTGTATTACAATATAGACATTGGCAAATAAGCACAGATCCTTGTAACATTCTGGCCCAGAAGGAGGGTACGAAACGTCTTGAAAGCAACGGCTACAACTCATCACCATTTAATTCACCTTTTTCAAAAGCTGACATCAGGTCGACATCAGCGTGAATACATCTCAAAAAACATGTTATAACAAAATTGTACATAATATGTAAATAGGCATGAGACCAACTGTGCTGTCCCGTTATAAAACGAAAGCACTGAAAGTGTTCGTCGTAGAAGCAGTTGAGTGAAGCGAAGTCCTTTTTGCTCAATCCTCCTTAAGCCTCCTGTCAGGTCAATTGACATGTTCCTTTCTGCCAATTTTGTCTTAAATGCTAAATATTTAATCAGTGCATTTTTTAAGGGGTTCTTCAAGAACCAGCTTTTCTTCAAAAAATATCTTTCATCTTTCTTGAGATGGCTAAGACGATCTGCTATTTTGGACTATCAGAAAAGACAGGAACATCAAACTTCACCCGTGAGGCAGCGAATAATTATGTTGTGGGATTTGACAACCTCATACTCTTTGGATTCGGTGATAAATCCTGACCATCTACCAAATCCTACTCAAACAATACCATATAAAACGTTTTGTCAAGCTGTTTGAGCTTCATCCCTTAAACGCTATCACTAGACATGCATTAATTCGTATCAGAATCCTTTACTATTCCGGACAATTTAATTTTAATCTCGAACTAGAAAGTACCTCGCCATCCATATTTACTCGAATTTCTAGAGACGGAATGCTGGATAAAAGCGTATTTGCCTACTCAAAGCCGATATTTGACTGATATAGTAATACATTTAGCAATTGGTTAATTATTCAGTTTAAATCCGGAAATAATGGTTCACTTAAAAAAAGTAAAAGACGCAAACATTGTAGTCAACCTAGAAGAATGATTTTGCTGGTGTTTCGAAAAAAATCTTAAAAAAAATTTATTTTAAACTTTTGAGCTGGAACACAACGACTAGTTATTTGAGGGAATACAATTAAGGCCAAAAACAAAGATTTGCTCTCATTACAACTTTGATCTTGTCTTGAATGGGTCTAATCAATTAGTTGAGAGTGGATTTCTTTAAAATCATTTGAGAGATCATTCGACTAAAGCTCAATAAACTGTTTATGATGAGGGAGGCATTGTATAGTTGCTAGCTAACCTATGTCTCTGGACCAATGTCATGGGCTCGTGACCGGTGTACTGATGCACATGACACAGCTCCGGCTTCCTGGATGCACTGTTTTGACGATACATGCTTCTGCTTCGGTTGCTAGGTGACAGCGGCCGGTCAGTCAGTTCAGTGGGCCAGAGTAGACGATGTGCTCGCTCCAAGCGAAGAGCTTTGTGGGCTTCAAGAGACAACGGTTGGTTACGAGGTCTGGTCAGGTCGAGGGCTAAAAAGTCGCGTCGAGTCAGCCAAAGTGGTGATGTCATGTCGGATAGTTCGTCGCGTGGCCAATTTGATCTTTTTGCATCGTGTTCGATTGCGATAAACGTGGTGATGCTCAGCTGATAATGCACTCCGGGAAGAAAGGAAAGCTAATGAGAACTTCCCACGTGAGGCTGTCATGTGGAAAGTGATGA